CCATTAGGGAGCTGGAGACTTGGAAGCAAGAGGTCTGGCAATGACTTCAAAAACTACAAATGCAAGAACATGTCAAGATAGTCATGGGGCCCAAGAGGACTCAGGAGCCAGAAGCCACATTTTTTCGAACAACCAGGATGAAAGCAAGATCCCAAGAGGCCTTGCCGGGGACAGGGTGAGCTGACAGAAAAGCTAAGGATGAGGCTGGGCACCTACAGAGAAAAAGAAGTGTCCCTCAGGTTAGCTTTGAAAGCTGAAATTACAAGTTCCACCAGCGCCATTGTTTGACCTCTCTGGAGAGGGTTCCTGCAGTCTACACCACAACATCATCATAGAGAAACAGACAGGAGAGTGCAGGGACACACACACACACACACACACACACACACACACACACACAGAGTAGCTATACTACAATTAACTCAATCCCAGAAACCAAGTCACACTTTTTTTTTTTCATTTGATTCAATAAAATTTTATTTTCCCAAATGTACAGCTGATTGAACCTGTTCATGCATCTTCACCAGCAGCTAGGGCATCTGTCTCCACCTTTGTGTTTCTGGTGTAAGTTACTTGGGCTCTGTGCTTTGAAACCAGCTTGATAAGTCTTTTACTAAGTAGCTCCTGAAGGGCTGCCCTGGCCAAGGAACCTCGACTCTTCAGTGTCTCAGAGCCCACAGCTGGAGTAACAAGCTTGTAGCTGAGAACTTCCTTACAGAGTTTGTCCAGTTTGTCGTGTGTAGCTGTGTCAGACAGGATGAGGTTGTTCAGCTTGTCCTGAACTTTACCTTTGGACAAAGAAGTCTTCTTTTTGGCTTTGCCACCAGATTTATTTATTGGGTCTTTGTCTTTTTTAGCTGACTTTCTGGCATCTTTCTTCTTGTTGTCATCTTTGGGTGGCATGGCAAAACTCAGAGACTAATGTGGACCACAGCAGCCTCACTAAGATGTCCCGCACTTTTTTTTTTAAGATTTATTTATTTTTATGTATATGTGTGCTCTGTCTGCATGTACACCAGCACACCAGCAGAAGGCATCAGATCACATTACAGATGGTTGTGAGCCACCTTGTGGTTGCTGGGAATTGAATTTAGGACCTCTGGGAAAACAACCAGTGCCCTTAGCTACTAAGCCAGCTCTCCAGCCTGAGCCCTGCCTCTTACTACTTCCACACCTCAGCAGAGCCACGCCAGAAGCTAAGATTCCAGCTCACATACCCATCATCCAAATCCTAGCAGGCTCCATGCTAAAGCTGAAAAGTTCTTAAAGAGATACCCAGTCCACACCCCATCCTCCAGGAGGGCAGAAGCTGGCAGACACTGTTACCCCTGCTGAGCCTTGCTTTGTAGAGCACCAGTTGTTATGCCTCAGGGTCATAGGCCAACCTTATACATACTAGCACAGATCACTCAAACTGGAGCCCAGGAAGGCAGAAGAAAACAGACACAGGAAATCTCTAAGTAAATAAATGCTGTCTTTCTCGTTGGTATAAAAAACAAAACAAAACACAAAGGCTTAACAAAATCAACTGAAGATGTCTTCTAAAAAGTACTATAAAAGAACTCGAAAAGAAAGAAAATAAGTAAATTTTTTAATTACAAATTTTGTCCAGAAAGCCAAACATCTAGATAATGATAGCCTTAGGGGAAATGAGCAGACACTGGCCATAGGAGAGCAGTGAGGACTGACAGACAGGCCCTGGACGAGAGGACACAGTAGCTTGACAAACAGGCCTGTCTAGGCATGATATCCTGAACTGTCTTAACACGATGTGGAGAACTTCCAAACTTCCAAAAGAGCAGGTCACACCAGGGGTCAAGTGTAGGAATGGTTCTCACTCTGTCACATGCCAGAAGCCTGTGTCTGGGAGCCACCCTGCATTCTAGATCCTGATCTCTATCCAGGATCCACAGTTCCACCGAGCCCACAAAGCAGCCTGAGAGGGAGCTACACCTCGGATGGACACCACCCCATACACATCCCAGGAACTGTGTGTAAGATACATCCAGAAGTTTTGTTTTATCACAACCTGAAAGGTGAAGCCTCATTTGCAGGAAGATGGGCGGGCCATCCTTGGTGGAGTGAGAAAGACTCATCATCAGAAATATCAGAAATAATTAGCTCAGAGGATGTGGCTGGGTTGTGGGTCACATGTTCATACTCAGAACGTGTTGCTTTAACCTGGACCTCTCCTGCTGTTACTTTTGGGCTGTTTAACCTCCTGAAAGTGACGACACTGGGATCACGCTCTCTCCAAGTTGACCTTCAGGTGGTTGGGCCTTGGGAAGGGATAAATTTCTCCTATAGTTCTGTAGAATTCCTGTTCACAGGAATGACTGATGAAAAGAAAAACCTTAAAACATAGTAACTTGATATCAGCAATAGACAGGCAAGGCTCTCTCCCTACAGCAATATCCCAGGAAGACCTCTGTGAGATGGGGAAGGCTGAGCCCCAAAGTCCTCATTTGGCATCTGCAGCAGCAATGCCATATGGCCCCAATGTTTCTAGGGAAGGGGTTTGGAAGAACACCCTTGAACTTCCCCCACTAAGAGCCCAGGGCCCCCAGTGTTTCCCAGGGAAGGGATTTGGAGGTACACTCTCAAACCCGCCCCACTAAAAGCCCAGAGCACTGTATGCCCTTTGCTCCCAAGCCTCATTGTCACTGTCTGCTTCTGGACAGCTGAACTTTTCCAGCCAGGCCAGGCTCTGACCGATGCAGAACTAAGTGAATGACCTTAGCTTTGGACTTCCGCTTCTCCTCTGAGCATCTCCTCTTCCCTCCTCCTTCCTCTCTCATCCCTCCAGAAGGTGTTACCAGGTTTTGGACACCAATTAGGGGTTTTTACCTGGCCTAAAGGACAAACACCCTTGTGTCCTCAGCCACCAGTCATAGTCTGGATAGCTGGCACAGTTGTGGGGTTGGACGTAGGAGGAAGCAGAAAGACACCTGAGGCTGCTCTAGGGAAATCTAGGCATAGCCTTACTAGGAACTGCCATCCTGGTAACCACAGATACTCAGTCCCCTCCTAACAGCCTTGCCTCTGGCCCCTTCTCTGAGTAGTGTAGATCCTATCAGCCCCTCAGACAACATCCTGCAGTCTGGAATGGAGGTCAAGGCTGGAAGCAAGGGCAGTCTTGAGGGAGGGCCTCTAGGTAAGTGAAGACCAACCATCCTGACAAGACAGCTGGCCCCAGCACCGAGAGGTAAGGGGAGAGGCGGCTCAGCATGGTGTGCTCTCTGTGCTCTTCCTGAGGAAGACAGAAGTGAGGCAGATTGAAGCAAGTGTCGATATGTAAACATCAGGCCTTGGTGTTTGCTCTGAGGCCTAATCCAGACACAGTAGAAAGTACTCACCCACTGCTGAGTGCTTTCTATTGAGGAATCCCAGTTTTAGTGGGAGAGCACAGGAAGCAGAAGTCATGCCACAATGTCAGGAAGGCCCTGCCCTTAAAAGAGACATAAAAGCCCTTAGCAGGGCTGCTGCCCCCAGATCACCTGGTTGAGATCTAAAGGAAGGGCCTCTGCTGTGCACAAAACACATGGCCTGACTGAAGGAGAGGCTGGGGTGGACTTCCGGAAAGGCAAGGCAGGCCTCTGTCCCTGGGATTAGTGGGACTGAGCCAGGAGAGGGACCTTGGGGACATTGTATAGCTCAGAGTAGAAATTGGAAGACACATACCTCTGCTGCCTCTCCTGTCTTTGCCCACAGGAGGCCAGGGCCCTGTTTTGGGTGTCCCAAAGTCCCCTGGTTCTCTTTCCACACTATGCCCAATGTCATTGTCCAGCACTGCCTAGGAGTACCTGTGCCACAAGTGGTTCACGGAGGTGCACGTATTGGTGCCGTGGTTAGTCTGTCATCAGTATGTGGCGACTCCACTAGCAGCTGAGCCCTGCCACCACTTATGGCCTCAGGTAGACACTAAGTACCACCAAAGGCCAACACCTATCCTCAGCCACATGAAGTGCCTGGGCTGCCAGCCTGAGAGGCTGCATCTTACCTAACCACGGCCATCCACTCACAGTGCCCTAGGTACAGGCTGGGCACTTCTGCCCATCTGCTAGGCTGATATCTGCCTGGCCTCCACACCAGGCAGCTGGACTCTAAGGTCAACATGTTAGCTGCCCGTGATGGGCAGATGGGCATGTGGGCCACTGTGCCGAGGATATGGTCCTATGTAGGGACCAGATGCAGACCTGTGATGAGAGCAGCTCACAGCCTCTGGGGCTGTCACTGATGACAACTTTCTTTTTGCTTCTGCAGAAAAGCATGTAACAAGATTTGGGCTGGCCATGCTGAAGAGTTATCCCGGGTTGCTATATACACACCGCACTGCCGCAAGGAGCTGACCGATTCCTTTGAAGCCTAGAGCAATCCTGGGGGAGGTGCTTTCCTGTTTATTAGTGTGCACTTCTGCGCTGTGTGGCTTCCTTAAGCATCAGGTGAGGTGCACATGCTGGGCCAGAGAGCTTTCCAGCTGCTCACAGGCCAGCTGGACCCCTGTAGGTGCAGGAATGGCATGAAACTGTGAAAGGTGCAAAGGAGTGGCAGGGTAGGTATGTGCACATGCATCTTCAAAGAGCAGCCACTCTGTGTGGATGTGTCCGTGTTGTAATTCAATCCATTCTTAGGTGTGCAGGTGGTCCTGGGGCCAGATCCCAGAGTCGTCTCATGGGTGCAAAGCTGTCCCTGGTCTCCAACTACAACATCCTGGGAAAATGGAGGGGTTCTTGAAGTCTCGATATGGCACACACAGGAGTATGGCTGACCAGTGAAGCTAGCCCTCCTCCCCCGCCTGGCAGAGGGTGGCATCCAGCCAGAGCAGCAGTAAGTCACTGGGGAGGAGAGACAGTGAATCACCAGAGAGGAATGCACAGCCCTTGGGTGAGGTCCGGAAGGCTAGTCCCCCCTGGGTGCCAAGGCCGAGCTGGCCGGAAGGGCAGCGGATATCCTGAAGAATGTGGAGGAGTTTCCACATATTGTCGTCCACGTGGGAACCCATGGCCAAGGGGAAACAGACACCTCAGGATGCAGGGGGCACTGAAGCCATCTGGGCAGGCAGCCCTATGGGGGCCAACATGATCTCCTTGAGGGACATGAAGGCCATGGAGGCTAGAGGTCATGAGGGCAAGGAGTCATAACTCTTGGGGGTCCCCACACTTAAGTCATTCTGTGGCTTCATGGACATGAACTTGTCCAGTGTATGTCCCTTGATAAAACTTATGATGCCCAACTGTGCCATTGTCCCGGGTTTCCCTGGATCTGAGGGGCTCTGCTAGCTTCGTTGCCACTTCTGCTCCTGCACTGAGCACGAGGTGCTGGATTAGGGTAGCCAAAGTAGGAGGACTCAGCTCCGTGAGGAGTAGGTCACTACTGCTCTGGTGCTGATTCCTGCTAGCTGTCTCAACCACAAGCTACCTGAACAACATGCTTGGTCTCCCCATCTCCCTAGAGCTCATCTGATCACAGAGGATAAAGAAGGGAAATGGCCAGCATATTGTCTACAGGGCAAGGGTCAGAGGGAAGAAAAGCAGGAGACACTATGTTCTAGGAACGTATTCTGACCAGACAGAAGGGCTGATGAACACCCCTGCCACATAGCTGTATAGAGTCAGGGCTTAGAGATGCAGACAGGCCTGGGTAGAGGTGGCTGCATGGTAACCTGGTCTCTCAGGGTCCTCGGACAGGAGAGGTCACTGTGGTTTAGCCAGACCTGCTGAGATCAGCTGAGCCCCCTGGGCCTATGGAAGTCCTCATTGATGATCCCCATAGGACCTAGTAAACCAGAGACTCTGGCTGCAGGAGCTGTCAGTGTGACCCTGTCACTGCTACCCAGTGTGCCCTGGACTTCTGACCACCCAAGGAGCAGCTGCCAGCTGTGGTAGCTTAGAAACTGAGCCAACTCAGGAGGTGAGCGCCTTGCCTCAGGTTGAAGTTCTGCTTGGGACAGCCCCATTCCTTGGGCTGTCCATGACCAAGCTGGACACATCCCAGGACCAGAGAATTAGATGTCTCATAGCCATAGATGGCAAACTGTGCTCCCCACTACCAGCCCTAAGGACGAGCCCCAGAAGATAGAGCCTTGTGAGCCCTTTCTATGAACAAGCCAAAAGCATGCCACTGTGTCAAGGCACAGGACAAGAACGTCCCCAGTTCTGCTCCTCTTAGGGTAACCCTGACTGATTCAAGCCTGTAGGAGCTGCAGGAGAATATGAAGAAGGGTTACTGCCAGCTGCCCATTGCTAGGGATAGCATCCACTTCCTGGCCCCTTCGGAGGGTGAGGCCAAGCATGAGGCTACACTGTTGCAGGTGGGTACTTTGGTTAGGACTGTGAGCATGCTACCCACTAGCCACTCTGTAGAAGTCTTAGAGGTTGGTATGTGTAGATCAGGCTAGACCTCGATACCATGCGCAGCAGACCTCACCCTCTGACCTCTTCCTCCAGGCCCCCTGTGAGGGTGGCATGGTCCCTATGGCAAGAATAGGGACCCTCTGAGGCTGACAAGGCACCTGGACTTCTTGAGTACCAGTGCTTATAAAGCATCATGCCAGCCTGCAGAAGGTGCCTGTGTTAGTCTTTGTATCAATGGTACCAAATACCTGACATGTGCAACTTAAGCGAGAGAAAGGCTCATTTTAGCTCACAGATGGAGTGTACAGTTCATCATGCCAGCAGACATGGCAGGCAGAGTGTGGGGTGAAAGATCATTGCATCCATGATCAAGAAGCAGTGAGGTGGGTGCTGGTGCTCAGTCTCTCTCTCTTTTCCTTCAGTCCAAGACTTCTGACCATGGGGTAATGAAACGCACTGTCGGGATGAGTCTCCCATGGCAGTTAACCTAGTCTAGAAACAGTCTCACAGACATGCCTCGAGGTTTGTCTCCTGGTGCTTCGCGACTGTGAAAAGGTGACTGTTAGTCATCACAGTCACAATGCCCAAGGCCTCCCTGCTCCCCTGCTGGGGTCTGAGCTGCCTACGGACAGACAAGCACCTCCTCCATCTGGCCACACAGCTGGGCAGGCTGGGCCTTGATCCCTCTGGTTGCTCTGGGTCATAGTCCCTGCTGATCAATGCTACCCCTGGCCATCCATAATGTCTGTCCTTCTCTCTCCATATAGCCTGGCAGGGTTGGTGCGGACGTGGAGTGGAAGAGATCTTCATTTGCTGTGCTGGGCCAGTCTCATGCATACTTTCTGCAAGTGGCTGAGGAATGTGTTCTGTTGGATATGCCTGAACTCTCGCACCACCTGGACGGCAGGACACAGGCTTTCTCCAGGCTACTGTCCTAGCTTCTCTCAGACTACTCTGTCACCAAACTAAGTGAATTCAACTCCCCAGGTCCCTGCCCAGTACACTCCTCTGCACCAGGCCTTTCCCCTCCACATGCCCTTAGGAAGCACTAGGCAAGCTCTAGAGTCAGAAACACAAAACCACCTGAGCGCTGGATTTCCTCAGCCTGTGGACGGTGGGAGATCTGAAGAGACTAGGCAATGTCTGTCCTGCCTTGACTGGTGCAGAACAGCAGACTCTGAGCACTGTAGACCTGCTGCTGGTGCACAAGCAGGATAGCATCTATGCTTCCCCAAACCTGAAGCCCTCTCCTTGCTGCCAAACCTCCCAAAAAGCTGGTCAAGCAGCTTCTGTGGGATGATCTGTTTGGCCTTTCTTCCTTGGCTGGGTTACCAGCAAGTTGGTGCTCCAAAGGGCAGAGCAGAGTCCACAGAATTTAAGAGAGGTCCCTGCTGCCTGCACAGCACCCCCAAACCTCCTGATGTAAGGCACTTTCTTGGCAGTGTGCTCTGAACAGAACCCCTAATAGGCCAGGTATCTTCCCTGAAGGGTCTAAGTGGCTGGTGGTTGCAGCCCGTGGCTTGCACACAGCCATCCTCAGTGTCCTGGGCACCTCCTTCTGCACTGGCAGGATGGAGGGGACAGGGGCTTTACTGGCACAGGGGTAGGATGACACAGGATGATGTGGCAAGCCATCATCCCCCATGGCCAGTGCCTCACCCCAATAGGGTTTCTTTGGCAGATGTGTGGGGTCAGGGGTGGCAACATTATCTGTGCATAAGACTGGAGAGCCATGAGGTCTGAACCTCCGGGTACACCAAGTACTGGGCAAGCCCTTGAGCAAGACACAACAGCTCTCCAACTGGTACCAATGACCACATTGTGAGGAGGAGCTTGTCTAGATGGGTACAGAATGACAGAGCAGGACTGTAAAGACACACACAGACACACACACACGGACAGACACACACACACACTTACCTCCTTGCCTTCTGCACAGGCTAATTGTATGTTGACACGGGTTAGAGTCATCTGAGAGGAGGGAATTGCAATTGAGAAATGGTCCATAAGACCAGGCTGTAGACCAACCTGTAAAGCATTTTCTTAATTAGCGATTGAAGGGAGAGGGAGGCCCAGCCCATTGTGGGTGATGCCACCCCTGGGCAGGTGGTTGTGGGTTCTATAAGAAAGCAAGCTGAACAAGCTAGTAAGCAGCACCCCTCCATCTCCATGGCCTCCACATCCATCCTGCCTCCAGGTTCCTGCCCTGTTTGAGTTCCTATCCTGACTTCCTTTGATGATGATGATGATACTGTAGTGTGAACCAAATAAAGCCTTTCCTCCCCAAGTCGCTTTGGTCATGATGTTTCAGCAGAGCAATAGTAACCGTAACTAAGGCACCTCTGTACGGTGTAACTAAGGCACCTCTGTATGGTGTAACTAAGGCACCTCTATACGGTGTAACTAAGGCACCTCTGTACGGTGTAACTAAGGCGGTCTCTGCCCACGTGGCTACAGATGCCTCCTGCTCAGTGGAGGTGCACCAAATCCTATGCAGAAAGCCTGCCCACTTCTGCCACCCAGGGAACCTGGGCAGGAAACAGAAGTCCAGACACAGGGAGAGACCAGAATCACGGGAGTCCATGCTTCAGGTGGCTGCAACCCTCCCCAGGAAGGCAAGAACTTGAGGCTCCTTACTTAGGACTCTTGGGGAAAGGAGTCAGTGTCTAAGCCTGGGACACACAAACAAGAGGCAGCAGCTGTTGCTCTAGGTCATGGTGGGTCTTTCCTGAGGGTGGGTCCAAGGCAACACCTGGCCATTTACATGAGTTTCTTCCTCCACTCCAGTACTTCCCACTCTGTGCACCTACCCAAGGTCCTCTGTGGAGCATCGTTTGTTTGGCCTGAATTTCTGAATTCTGGAGTCCATAAAGCTGGTGACCTTTCATAAAGAGCTGACCTCTCGCTACACAGGTGACTCATGGCCAGGGCTTTCTGCAGGTATCTGTGGCCCCCAGGGAAGTTGCTCTCTCCAAGGTCCCTGCCAGAGCCTTCCATGTAGTACGTGACAGGATGCTCTGGGGGCTTGCACGGAGCCTTGCTGTCTTGGTACAGATGAGGATATGCTTGCTAGACAACAGTGAGGAGCACCACGGGGCAGCTGAGATGGGAGGAGTCCTGGATCCTTACGGTGTATACCAGCAGCCAGCACTCCACCTGCCTCCTGCACATCCACGGCTGCAGGAAGGGGCTGTGAATGAAGAACTAGCGGGGAGCCAGTGACCAGCGAGAGGCTTTCCACCTGAAATCCAGAAGACACAGAGGGTGTTGTCAGTGACGGCCTGTGAACAATGACCGTAGCAGACATCACAGTGCTAGGCCTAGGCTACTATAGCAAACTTCTGGGCAGTGCTTAAACAACTCTAGCTCACCGCTTAGCCTAGTGCCCAGTCCCTGTACCAAGGGATGAACTAGAAGTTGGTGGAGGAGCTTCTTTCTTCTTGCCTGTTGATCTTGTCGGTAGGCACCCATGTTCCTCACTCCTGACCTCCTCCATGCACCTGTCCCAGCTCTGGAGAGTCAAAGGCCCAATGCTTGTTCTAGTGAAGGTCTCTAGCAACACCAAGCTGAGCAGACAGCATCATGGTGAAAACAAGAAGCAATGATCACATGGCGAAACTGCAGGGCAGCCTGCTCTTCCCCAGTGACCTGCTCCTGCAGAAGCTAATGGGTCCCATGAGAACTACACCAGTCCCTTCCATGGCTGCCTCTCCCACATCTGACTGCCTCCAACAGGCTCTCCTCTTAAGCTCAGCACTTTAGCATTTCCACATTAGGGACCAAGCTTCCTGCGAATAGCTCTCTGGGAGTGCCCGCATCAGTCACGTGTAGCTCTCTGCCACAATCAGGTATCAAAGCACTAAGAGCCTTTTCCAGAGGCAGAGAGAATGCTAGTGGGCCATGTGGTGAGGTGAACATTGCTCAAACTTTGTTGTTCAATAATCTCCAGTGCGTGCAGGACATGGTGGTGTATGCCTTTAATCCCAGCACTTTGGAGGAAGAAGCAGATGGGTCTCCATGGGTTTCAGGCTAGCCTGATCTACATAGTAAATCCCAAGTCGCTAGAGCTACACAGTGAGATCCTGTCTCAAAGAAAAAGAAAAGGGGAATGGAAAAGGAAAAAAAAAACGCCCAGTAGGTATCAGAAAAGCAGCCTTGGATGTTTGAGTATCTGCTACTGCAGAGGCTCTCATGGGAGTGTCAAGCTTAGTGGAGGACCCTGAGTGTGCTGGGAGCTCTGACCATGCCATCCTGGCTCTAACTCCACATAGAGGAACTAGCCTATAAGTTACCTTATCTCAGCCAAGCATGGTGACAAATAAATCTGAATCTGAGACCAGCCTGGGACCTGAGACCCTGTCCCAAAAGTTTCCGGCTGGGCACTGCAGCACATGTCTGTAATCTTAGCTCTGGGGGGTTAGAGACAAGAAGACCAGGAGCTCACGGTCAGGGTAAATATCAAGTTCAAGGCTAGCCTGGCCTACATGAGACCTGTCTCAGTAAACAAACAAACAAAAAGTAACTTTTTTCCTTTTTACAGTGCTGCTAATCAAACCCAGAGGCTCATGCCTGCTTGCAAACACAGCTACAGCCCCAGCCTTCAGAGAAATTTCTCTTAAATGCTGGAGTTGTGCTGGGATAGCATGCTTGTCTCTCAGGCTCTAGGCTTAGTCCTCAGCATGAGATGACAGGACATGACTGGAAAAAAAGAGAGGAAAGTCTTTTGTCCCCTATAGCCATTTTTGGCTAGTTTAGAACAGAAATAAAATTCACAGTTGGCATTAGTAAACTGTGTTTCCCAGGCTTGCTGGCTTGGTTTTATTTTACTGCTGGCGTGTCTTTCCTTGTTTTGATATTGTTGTGTCACCAAGTGTCTTCCTGAAAGTGACCACATGATAAACCCAAAGCAAAGGATGGCCTAAGAACCCTCAATACTTGTCTGTGAGAGACACTAGCACACATTTACTGTCTGAATCCCTCATATGCTGACATATGAGTTTGGGCAGAAAGCAGTCTTCCTAAAGCTGGGGACAGCTATTAAGACAGTACAAAGTAGCTCCAGAAGTCACCTCAGGGAGAAGCAATGTTCCCAGGAACTGAGTATTTTCAATCTCTACTCTGATGCCATCCAAACACATTTAATAATCTTGTCTGAAAGATTGTGTTCCATTTGTTACGATTTTCTCCCAAGAACTTTATTTTCCAGTGCTATTATACACTATGCTGTTCTTATTTTCTGCTCATTGCAGAGCTGAGACTGTCTCCTCTGAGATTCGCTCATGCCTGGTGATGTCAGCAAATGTTCCATAGCTCCTCATTGAGCATCTCCATGAAGAGGTATTACCTACAAAGTTAGGGCCAATCCTATCTTCTACTGTTTTTCTTACCTCACAACATTAGTGAAGACCACAAACTATTAGTGCTGACGGTGCTGTCACTTCACTCCTGACTAGAAAAGAATATTTTTTGGAGGCATGGTGATGGTAAATGCCGTGGACTTGGTGTCTAGTAATAGCTACTCGGTTGTCTGTACCTTACGAGTCTCTGTTGTCAGTTTATAACCTTCCTGGAAGATGTTTGTCATATGCCACACTCATAGGGACAGGGTGCTGCTAAGCTTGCTGGCCCTGCTTCAGGATCTACATGTCATGTGGTCCTGTTCTCATTCTTCTTGTTCTTGCTCTTGCTTACCCTTCCTCTTTTTTTTTTTTTTTATCCAAAGAAGGGTCAATTGAACATCTTTGTTTTTAAAAGATTATCCAATAGATTTATATATTTGGAAATGCTCAATTAACAAGATGCCCTCACAATTAGAATTGTTGCCCAATTATCTAACCTAGATATTATAACTACCTTAGACTCCTAGAGACGTGTACATCTGCAGCCATCTTCTCTCCTCCTCTGCCTCCTTCTCTCAGTTGAACATCTTAAGAGATGGCCTATGCTCCTTGTTAATCCTTCCCTTTGCAGTTTCTTTCTGTCAGGACTTTGAACCAACCTAAGGCAAGCGCTCTATCACTGCATGTCGGCTTAGCCCTGGCTCGCTCATCCCTGTTCTTGTCTTGATGCTTTCTTGGGATTGGTCCCAAGCAGAACACATAAGGCCTCAGTGCTCAGCCTCTCTTACTCTGTGATTAATGCTCCTCAGTCTCCCCGAAGCCGGTTTTCACGGCATCCCAGCAGCTTCTTGTTTGTTTGTGTTTTGAGTCAGGGTTTCTCTGTGTAGCCCTCGATGTTCTGGAACTTGCTCTATAGACCAGGCTAGCCTTAAACTCAGACATCTGGCTGCCTCTGGCTCCCAGGACTGGGAAAAAAGGTGTGTGTCACCTGCCGTAACACATTTTTAAAATTTCAAGTCTTTACAGTATTTTCTTTTTAACACATTAATTAAATTCTACTTGTTATAATAACTGATAGAAATTGGAATTTGCATCTCCATTTGTGCTTTTTTATTTGTTTGTTTTTTAAACAAGGTCTTACTATGTAGCCTTGGATGGCCTAGAACTCACTATGTAGACCAGGTTGGTCACAGAGTTCAAACTCCTAGCCTGCCTCTGCTGGGATTAGAAGAGTGTACCACCACACCCAGCCTTCAGTTTGTGCTTTCTGGTTACTTTTCCCCCTTTTATCTAAGACCAAGTATAACTTTTTCTGTTCTCCTTTCCTTCTTCCTGATAGTCTTAACTTTCACACTGGTTCTGATTTTCCTGTTAATCTGAAATTTATAAGTTGTGTTTCTGTTCATGAACAGAAATGCCCATGTTTACTTGAACTATATTTAAAGTCTGGCTGGACGTATGGCTCGCTGGTTTGAGGGCTTGCCTAGCATGCATGAGGCCCTGGGGTTGATCCCCAGCACTGCATAAACCAGGGATAGAGCTGCAAGCCTGTAATTCCAGCACGTAGGAGCTAGAGGTAAGATGATCATAAATTCAAGGTCATCTTCTGCAGGCTGGAGGTTATCTTGGGCTACCCAAGACCCTGTCTCAAAAACTTAAAGGTGTGGCACACACCTTTAATCCCAGCACTGGGGAGGCCGAGTCAGGCGGATCTCTGTGAGTTCATGGCGCACCTGGTTCACAGAGTGAGACCTTGTTTCAAAGAATTAGAATAAAGTTAATATAGTCAACTATAGGACAATTCAGCTTTCAACTTACCTGTTATTTTCTAGCATTTAAATACTCTGATTTTTCCTACAAATCACTACACCTAACCTTATGCATTCCGTGTCATTTAGAGCTGGTGGTTCTCTGGGGACATATACTGCACTGCTATCCTCTAAGAAGAAGCAAATGCCTCCCTGTGAGTTTCCTGTTCTGTGCTTTAACCGGACTGACTTTCCCTCAGTCTCTGCTCACTGTCTCAGAAGATTAGATGGACAGAACTTTGAGAACACCGTCTGCTCTTGGCTTGGCTTGTCCTTTGGACTGCAGTGTTGCCCTCTGTAGGCAGGCCAGCTTCTGCTGTAATGCCCTTTTGCTTCATAGCCTTGTGTCAATTTAACAGTTTTGTAGACTTTTTTATATATATTTTCATTTATTCTATGTGCATGTGCCATGATGAACAGGTGGAGATTGTAGGACAACTTGAAAAAAACAGTTCTCTCCTTCCACCTAGATACAGATACAGGCGAACGTTACCAGCCTTGGCAGCAAGTGCCTTTACCTACTGAGCCATGACCTTGGTCCAAGTTTGTTTTTATTTTTGCTTTTTTATTCATCATGTAAGTATATTTTTCTTTTTTGAGATAGGGTCTCACTCTGTAGACCAGGCTGTCTTTGAGCTCCACCTGCCTCTGCCTCCTGAGTACTGGGACTAAAGGCATGTACCACCATGCCAAGAATATGTATTTTTAACATCACAAAGTATCTGTTTATTTTCCTTAATTTTCATGGCAAAATATACATCATAAAGTTTTCCAGCCAGGCATGGTGGCACACACTGTTCATCCCAGCACTCCAGAGACAGAGGCAAGAGGATCTCTATGAGTTGGAGGCCAGCCTGGTCTACATAAGGAGTTCCAGGACAGCCAAAGCGACATAGTAAGACCCTGTTTTGAAAGGATATAATGATAATGATAAAGGTTTGGGGCTGGAGAGATTGCTTAGTGATTAACAGCACTGTCTGCTCTTCTAAAGGTCCTGAGTTCAATTCCCAGCAACCATATGGTGGCTCACAACCATCTGTAATGAGATCTGGTGCCCTCTTCTGACCTGCAGGCATACATTCAGGTAGAATGCTGTATATATAATACATAAAAATAAAAATTAATAATAATAATAAAGATTGCCATTCTAACCATTTGTAAGTATCTGATTCAGTGGCATGAAACAAGTTGGCAGGGTTGACAGTTCACTACTTCATCATCTCAGACAGAAACAAAGTAGCCAATGAGACACTGCCTTGCCTCCCCTACAGTCCCTAGAAACTGCTGTTATACTCTCTGTTGCTATGGATTCCGATATCCAAGGGCCTTGCATAAGTGAAGCTATGTTGTATTTGCCCTTATATGTATTGGTTCCAAGACTCCCTACAGGTGCCATACTCTACAGTCACTGAGACCCTTGGGTAAATGGCAGCCTGGCCCATCACCACATCTCTTGATGACTTACAGAACATAAACATCATACTATGTCATTAGGAAATCATGGTGGAACAAAGAGTGTAGTACAGATGACAACCCTCGTAGACACGACTGTGATGCGCAGCAGATATGGGGAGAGCCCATACAACATTCATCAGAGGGCCTGATGCATGGCAAATCTGTTTTGATTTCTGCAGCCCTCTGGAATTTTTAAAGAACACTTTCAGTATGCAGTTGATTGAATCTCCAGACGCAGGGCCTGTGGATATAGGGAGATGATTATTGTATACAGCACATTTACAGGATTCATCCACATCCTGTCACGTGACAGGATCTCCTTCCTTTTTAAGACCGAGTAATACTCCATGGCATATTTAGGCCATTTTTTGTGTTTATTGTGTTGACTCCCTCTTATGGCTGCTGTGGGTACTGCTGCTGTGAATACCAGTTGTACACATGGCTGCTTTTGATTCCCTGGGGCACACACTGGGAACCTTTGATAGCTAGGTCCCACAATTCTGTGCTTACCTTCTTGAGGAATGAGCACACTTCGTCCAATGACCCCATTGCCTGTTCTCCAGGTCTTAAACACTTGTCTGTGTATTTTGTAGCCCAGACTGCTCTCCTACTCACATCAATCCCTCTGCCGAAGCTTCCCAAAGTTGGCAATACAGGTGTGGGCCACCACATGATTGATGTTGAGTGTACTTTTGTGTATGTGGTCATTTGTATGTCTTCCTTAGGCAAATATCCTCTAAGGCCCTTTGTCCTTTTTAAATTGGGCAGTTTCTTCTTTCATTGTTGAATTATTGAAGTTTCTTTTATATTCTGGATGTTACTGCTGGGTCAGATGTTCAATCTGCAAATGTTTTTGGCTGTGTGTGTGTGTGTGTGTGTGTATACATGTGTGAGTGTATGTGCATGTGCACACGAATGTGTGAGTGTGTGTGAGTGTCTGTGTGTGTGGTTGTGTGTATATACATGTGTGAGTGTATGTGTGTGTGCACACGAATGTGTGAGTGTGTGTGTGGTTGTGTGTATATACATGTGTGAGTGTATGTGCATGTGCACACGAATGTGTGAGTGTGTGTGAGTGTCTGTGTGTGTGTGTGTGTGTACCTGTGTCTTGGAGGAGGCTGAGGTGAGACAAGGTCCTGAATATAACTGATTCTGGCCTTGACCTTTCTATGTAACTGAGAATGACCTTGAAGTTTGGACCTTCCTGTTTCTACCTCTCAGTGCTAGAATTACAGGGGTGCGGCAGCTGCAGTATTGAGGGTCTAATCCATCACTCTGTGTGCTGGGCCATGTCCAGACCTCTCTTCCTTCTCTGGAAGGTGGGTTCTGATTTTGATGAAATGTGGTTTGTATGTCACTCTGTTGTATTTCCTTAGTGTCAGAGCAATGAATGTGCTGTCAGGTCAGGGGCATGAAGTTTCCCTGTTTCCTTCTAAGGACTTTATAATTTTCACAGACATGAGTTGGCTTCATATTCACTAAAGATCACTGAAGACTTATAAAGAACCCTTCTGCACACAGACATCCTGTGTCTGCCTCCTTACACACATGGTATCCACCACTTTGCCCCAGTTGTCTCTCTTCTGGCTTCTACATGTCTTTTACAGAGAATTTTCTGTTTTTGATAACTTCCTTGTTTCTTAGTGCAGCGAAATGTTCCTGTCTCATTCATTTTCTCCATTTTGACTCCAAGAGCTGGAAGCAGCCATTCCTTCCCAAGGCTCTGACTCCTTTCCTCACTATAGACACTTGAGAGCGACAGGCAGAGCGGCTTTCAGCCCCAGGAGTTTGTCTTGTTTCCAGGCCTCAGCAGTAGGCAGAATGGTGAGAGACATCTTTGTTTAAAATGAAGTCTAGGGCTAGGGAACAGCTCAGTCTGGTAGACTGCTTGCCTAGCATAGCATGAAACCCCCTGGGTTTGATTCTCAGAACCACATAACCCAAACTTGGTGGTACTCACCAGAACTGGAAAGACAAAGACAGGAGGTAAGAAATTCAAAGTAGGGGCCAGCCTGGGCTACATGGTACCTGTCTCCAAATTTTAAAATAGTCTGTATGGTGGTACAATACTTTAATCACAGCACCCTGGAAAGAAAGTCAAGTGGATCTCTCTGAATTGAAGGCCAGCCTGATTCACATAGTGAGTTCCAGACCAGTCAGAGCTACATGGTGAGATTCTCTCTCAAAAGACCAAAATTACCTAAATTAATAAAAACAGTGTACATCAATTCAAATTTTCTACTCAGATTTGGACATTTTTTATAACATCCTTAATTTAATTCATATACTTTCCCTCTTAGCTCCAAGCCCCAGTGCCCCTACCATCAGCAAAATTAGCCATAGTCAAGGCTAGAGAAATGCTGAAGCAGGTAAGAGCACTGGCTACCCTGGCAGAGGACCTGGGTTGATTCTCAGTATCCACATGGCAACTCACAACACACTCAGGTAAAGCATCTATAGACATAAAATAAATAAATTTAAATCCTTAATACTGAGGAAAAAATAGGATCATGCAAGGTGACACAGTGGGTAAAGGCAAACCCAGCAAGCTTGACTTTGAGCACCACAAAGAAGAGCGCGAAGCCCCATAAGCTGCCCTCTGACCTCCACATTAGTTCTGTGGCATGTGTGCGTGTATGTGCACTCTCTGTCTCTCTGTTTTTCTGTCTATCTGTCTGTCTCCCTCCCTCTCCCTCTCCCTCTCCCTCTCCCTCTCCCTCTCCCTCTCCCTCTCCCTCTCTGTCACACACACACACACACACACACACACAGAGACAAATAATTCTTTAGAAGGTTTCAGCATGGCAGGATCAACACTATCACTAACACTGATATTTGATGGTATAGTGTGTGCGTGTGTGTGTGCACGCGCACGCGCGTGTGTTGGAAGAAGGGAGTACGCTGTGCCACAGTAGCACATATGAAGGTCAGAGAATAATAACCTTGAGTGTTGATCCTCACCTTCCGCCCTGAGACAGGGACTCTTACAAAGAGTTCATCAGGGAAGTTGAGCTAGCTGGGAATTCTGCCTCTACTGATCGACCATCTAGCAACGGGAATACTGGGAAGCACAGCCTAGCGTGTCATGAGTTCTAGGGATTCAAACTCAGGTCCTTTCAAGTACTTATCCACTGAGCCATCTCCTCAGCTCTGTGGGTGCCATTTTATCCTCAACATGTGTATGATATATGCATGTGGACACCCGTGCCAAGGTGGGAAGTAACAGGACAACTTTGTGGTGTTGGTTTTCTCCTTGTACCTGGGTTTCAGGGATCAAATTCAATTAGCCATGATTGCAGAGCAGATGTCTTTACCATTGAGCCATCTCACCCACGTGGCACTTAAAATTTTTCTATCTGTTGCTTTTTGCCTTAGTGGCAAATTTATTGTTGCCGGCCTCTCAGAATACCTTTCTCCATTCTCTGGTCATTTTCTTCAGGTCTTTGAGAATTGCTTTTAAAGTTTAATTGTGTTTGTAACTAAATACAATATTTGCATTGTTCTGTAAGTATATCCGTAAAACAAGGTGGGCTGCAGGCCTCAGGACTCTGGGCTGGTGGGAACAAAGGTTGATATCAATTGACAAAGGAGACAATCCTGAGTGTGTGAGAGGCAGTGGGGCAGCCTTACCTACTGGTATCAGAAGGATCATCCTAGCCTCAAGGATGGCATACCACAAGGACAGAGTTGGGACCTGTTCCTGTCTAAGCCCCATCTATTTACCAGGGGACCTCAGTCCCACAGGTCCCTTAGGCACTCTTCATGTGAGGTTGGTGTGAGAGAGGGCTTGCCCTTCCCTGGTAGAGCCAGAAGAAGCCAGGAAAGATTTTGGAATATGTGCACTCCAGCACTCTCTGGTCATGTATCTGCAGCTCTGTGCCCAAGTTGGGGCTGGTCGCTGCCTCTCTGTAAACAATACCCTCAAGGCCCAACAGCAAGCCAAAGACATGCTCAGGCACTTCAGCAAACAAGTCATTCATGCAGGTATCTTCAGCTGCTGCCAGGTGGGTCCTGAATGCCCATCCCCCAAGGTGGAAAACACCCTGGCAGGCTGGCAAGAACCGGTGTGTCCCTGAATGGTGGTCCCTGGATGGTGGTGGGCATATGTGCTCTGAGTCCATGGGAGCCACAAATCATCCTCCCTCCCTGTCTAGGCACCTGCACACAGGCTGCATGTCAGGGAAGTCACTACAGTCTGGGTCAGTTTTTTTTTTTTTTTACACAATTCCAGGTAGGCCAGCATGACCAAAGTAGTGGCCCTCATGGCCACTGGTTTGGGGAATTTACTCTGGCCCTTGAGGGGCCTCTGGGATGAACCAAGAGAATGTGAATCTCGAGGTCAAAGTCTTCACAGGTTCACAGGACCTGGAGGACCTCCAGGACACACAACCGTCTAATACGTATACTGGAGTGCTCTTCCTATCTGTGAAGGAGGGAAGAGGCGGAGCCTCTCCTGGCTGCCAGGTGTAAGGGGCCTGATCCTGCTGGTCTGGAATTAGGTTCCTGCATGGGAATACTCCCTAGAGAGCAGTAAGGAAACTCCCCCAAGCAATGGTATTTGTTTTGGACCCTGGACTTGGAAGCCTTCTATGGGAGCAGTGGTCTGAGCCCTTCAGGTAGCCATTACCAGGTTCTCTACCCACCTCCCTGGCTGGACAGGACAGAGCTCAGCCCCACTTTCCCAGACTTGGGCAGACTAGCTCACCTGGCTGGGGAGGGACCAGCCAGGACCAGTTCCTCTCCCCCTGGAGCTTGGTTTGTGTTTCTGGACTTGGCAGTCTCCTTCTATGGTGCTGAAAGTACCCAGGACAGAAGCACTCTTCAAGCTCCCAGAGCCCCTGCCTCTAAGAGTTGGGATGCAAACTGACCTGCTAGCTTCACTGCCCCACAGGGACAGTGGCTTCCTCCATAGCACTTTAGTGCAGTGAGGAAGTGTGTTCCCAACCTTTTCCTTCAGCATTGAGCTCCAGGGGCGACAGGAACCACGTCTGTCCGCTGCCTCTCTTTGTCTGAGCTCTGCCCGGCAAGTGTTTTAAAGACCCCAGGATGTCCGGGACGCCTGGGGAGGCATTTTAATGAGCTTTTCAGAACCTGGGCTGCTGCTTTTTCTTGAGAAAACAGGAAGTTGGGTAGCTGGGAGGAAACCCCTACTCTATCCAGAGCCGCGTGCAGGCAACAGCCTGCTGTCTGGATCTGCCCAGAGATCTTCAGACTTGAAGACGTCCCTCAGCACTTATGCATGAACAGTGCGTAGAGACACAGACAAGCCCACAGCCTGGCTGAGCAGAATGATAAATTTAAACCTAAGGTCAGGTTCTGAGAGGTAACTTGGGGGCAATGTTGCAACCAGATCAGAGACCAGCAGATACCCAGGCCAAAAGGGGCAGCAGCTGGCTATCTCGGGACAGAGAATAGGCATGGAGCAAGAGCAAAGAAGAGAGCAGCATGAGGGCTTTGGTTACAGATGCTGCAGACATGAACACTGTAAGGGGCTCTTGGGGGACTGTCTTGGGGGGACCATTCTTGCAAATGAGGCAGAGCATGGAGAAGAGGCTCATAAGCTGCTTCCGTCCTTGTCCAACTGCCCAGATGCAGCTCTCTTCAGCCCCATCCCTGATACCACGCCCAGCCTTGGGCACCCCACAGGAGGTCATGCTGCTGCCCTGGTCAGGGAGTGGAGCCCACCACAAAGTCACATTAGAAGAGGAACATATAGACTCAGCTGACTAAGGTCAGGACCCTTATTAGTGGAAGAAACAGCCTTTGAAAGCATTCATTGGTGTTCACGGGGACTCACAGGAAATGGTAGGAGTCCAGTGAGTAAGATCAAAGTCATTTGGAAGCAACCATGAAGATGCTGGACAGAGAGGGCAAACAGACCTTGCTTTGCACAAGCGCATCTTCTATAGATGGCTCTGATGTTCAGGCTACAGCCCAGAGGCCTGTATGCAAGTCAACTCCTGGGTCTATAATCCCAAGAGACTCTCAGGGCTTGGAAGATCAGGGCTCTAGGCCACAAGGCTGTGTCTGAGTGTGTGTAACTGGGCATTCTTCCCAGCTCTGCACAGGCCTCGGCCACATCCTCACTGCCCTTCTCAGAAATCCTTCAGAAGCAGCATTCTCGGTAGACCTGGGAGCTTGACAGCAGCAGGCAACTTGGAATCCCATGGACATCACATACTTAAACACGTGCACCAGCTACCCTAATGTCCTGCCCCAGTGGCCGAGGAAGGCTGTCCTTAAGGCCAGTGAAGAGCCTGAGAAAGCATCTCAAGGTGAAGCAAAAGAGACTTTGTGTAGGGTTGTCTTCAAAATGGCTGCAGATGTCTGCTGTGACTGACCCCCCAAACACACACACACACACACACACACACACACACACACACACACACTCACGGCTTCAGCCATGGAGACCAGTACACACAAGCCATGCCTACACAGATCCCCAGAACCCTCAGCCTGGCTTCTGGCAGTATGAGTCTTCCATCTTAAACCTATCCCACAAGACCCTGACTCAGTCCTTGGATTGGTGAGAGCTGACCACCTCCCTGGAGAGTTTCCACCAATAGAATCTTCTCTTTTTCTTCCTTCAGCTATCTTGATGCTTTTCTCAAAGGGGAAAAGCCTCTTTTGACAGGCAATACTCCCAAAGCAAAGCTCCAGCTGGTGCAGGAGGTTCAAGGAGGAGCTGAACAGTGATTGATTGTAGAACGGGGGGTGTGTTACCACACTGCTATCCCGAGAAGTGTCTGTGAGAGTCGGATTAGAGGAGACCTAACCACAAAATGATGACTGCCTACCTGAAGCCACAGGGAGCTGGGGCGTGAGAGATAGTCTCCTGGGGAGGTCACAGCCTTGTAAGCTGGACTCTCAGCGGCTGTGGGGATAGAGGCTGAATTGTCCATTAGCAATGTCTATCAGAGGGACATTCCCAGTACTGTCCACCATGAGAAAATACTTTATCAAAGAAATTTTAGTTTAAAAAAAGAAAGAAAGAAAAAGCTAAACATGAACGCTGAAACACCCAGGGTAATATCTATTTTTACTGTCCCTTTGGTCCCCTGACCCGTGATTAGGGAATGGACTGTGGCCCTGTGAGGGTGTGTTTTGAAAGAGTGACGTCAAGCCTTCAGAAATGTGTGTCCCGAGAGGCCAGTGACCCCACCACCTCAGGGAGTTTCAGGCAGAGCCAGCAGAGGGCTTTCCCTACCGCTGAAAGGAGCCACAGTCGGTAAAATAGGCTTTAAGGGTCCAACCAGGCACTTTGAACAAGAGGGGGTTCTCAGTGGAGGATGCCAGGGAGAATATGTTCCCTGCCCCAGCCTCCACACATAGACACAGACTCCTGCCAGCTCTAACTGCTACTCTGTAGAGGACCTAAGGTCCCTCTTGTCAGCACCTATTCTGATAGAAGACTCAGGAATACACAAGAAGCAGAGTCAAGTTAGGAGTCTCACCAACCAGGGGTGCAGGAGAAACCTAACCCAAATCATGCCCTGAGGTGTCTACACACCAAGGAACAGCCTCAGAGGAGGCTAAGGCCCCACCAGTGCAGGGTCCTAGAGAGTGTAAGACAGAGCGAGCACTTCAGGAGAGCTAGGAACCTCCCCCAGGCTCAGAGTGCAGATGGAGCAATGGCTTCAGCACTTTTTAAAGCCCTGGATCTTAGAGACCAACCTAAGTTCTTACCAGGTAGCCCCCAGGAGACTGAGCCTGGGTTCTGCTGTGGAAAGACCTGGCTTCTGGTGGCCTAGAGCAAGCCCCAGCCACTTTCAGAAGACTCTTGGCACTGTTGGGCCCATGTGGCAGCTATACCTCTCCCTTTAACTGAAGAAATTGTTCTCGTGTCCCATTGCCACCCCAAAACCTCAGCCTTCACAACATGGGGCAGGCCTCCCTGGATCTCAGTCCTGCCCCTACAATGCCATGAGCAGTCCCTAAAGACTACTCTTAAGTTTTCAACAAAGCTACCTAGAGGCCTCCTGTATGGCCTGCCCTACTATTCCCCTGAAGGATCCTCCAAGAATTGTCTAGGCTGAGGCACCCTTTGAGCACATCTGGGAGGGCTGTACTGCCCCTGGAGTATTGGGAGAACTGGGCCACCCTGACAGTAGCAGGCATGCATGCTACCCACTATGGAGCCTCAGCAGTGGAGAAACAGGGAAGAGAAAAAGTCAGAGCTAGGAGGTTTCTTTCTGAGTAAACACTGGCCACCTGGACCAGGGTGACCTCTCCCAGGACAAGCCCATGGTCACTCAGAACCATTACACTACTGCAGATTCATCCACAGGCTGAGTTAAGAGTCAGTGGGCACTTGGGAGACAGAGCCAGGCAGATCTCTGTGAGTTCAAAAGTAACCTGATTGACTGATTGAGTTCCAGGACAGCCAAGACTACAAAGAGAGACCCTGTCTCAAGACAACAACAAGAAGATTCAGTGGACAGTGTAGGAGACACAGCTCAGGGGTTAAGAGTACTGGTTGCTCTTCCAGAGGACCCAGGTTCAATACCTAGCACCCTTATGGTGACTAAAAACCATCTGTAACTCCAATTCTAAGGAACCTAATACCATCCTCTGGTCTCTGTGGGCACCAGGCACATGTGATACATAGATATACATGCAGGTAAAACATCTATACACATAAAGTTTAAAACAAAAAATGAAAAGGGGGTAGGCAGCAAGTAGAAGACCCTATCAGTGCCCAAAATAACATCCACTGGCTAGACATGTGAAAAGCCAGCTTCTAAGTCCCCACTCCCGCTGGGCTCTAGACACCGAGGAAGAGAGGACGAGCCCTTGGCCAGGAAGATCTGGCCTTCCCAAGGGATGAGCACAGTGTTTCCCTCATCCCCAGTGTGGCCAAACTGCTGAGATCCCAGAATCCAAGAGACCGTGCCCGACACATAGGCTATTGCCCTCACTGGGTGGCTGAGCCCAGTCTCCAGACCATGAGGTCTTTTCTACTTCCACTGGCACTGTGATGAAGGAAGGAAGACTCTCCTGA